GAATTGAATTTACCAATTCCAATTCATTTTTGCACTACCAATTCCAAATCTACATAATTTTTATGCCACCAAACACGAGAATTGGAATTGAATTCTTCAATTCCAATTCTATAGTTTGAATTCCGTGTACCAAACGGGACCTAAAGGAATTAGGGTGTGATTAGTGTTTGATAAAGCCAAAAGTGAAATTTGCACAAAATATTAATATATGTCATTTTTATTTAAACTTTTTTATTTCCTAAATAGTAGTTAAACAATGTCTAGCGGCGGGAACAATGTCTAGTGATGTTGGGCATTTAATTTGAATAATGTCTAGTGGTGGTGAACATTTACTTGAACAATGACCAGTGGACAATGACTAGAGGTACTACATTAGAAGAAAAAAAAGATACTACCTTGGGGAGTTACTATGTTTTAGTACTATTTAGGTAAAAGTAAAATTTACACTAAATAATAACTAAAACATATACCATTTTCAAAACTCATATCTTATTATACACCAAAAGTTCACCAAACGAGTCCTTATTTTGCATCCATGTCTTAGGAGGGAGGATCGGGTCTCGAAAACCTGATTAGAATTTATGGCCAAATAACACTAAAGGGCTGTTTGGCAACTTTTGAATAGGTAAGTGTTGAACTAGTAAGAGGTCTGAACCATTAAGAGCTAGTATATTGCTTAACTATTCAGAGGCAAATGTCTGATCAATTCAGATAAGAGGTCTTAACCATTCAGACTCTGTATAATACTTAACCATTGAGAGGGAGCCATTCAGACATCTGAACCATTAAGAGGCTGAAACAAACAGTCTGAACCATAAAGTGCTGAACCATTCAGACATCTGAACCATTAAGAGGCTGAAACAAACAGCACCTAACACTCCTTGTGGTTTGGTAAATAGACACCAATATCCTCACTGTTTTCAAAACATTTTCTTAAAGTTTCCGCAGTTTCAAAATGTTGTACTCATATCCTCTGTTATCATTTTTCGACCATTTTTTTGGCAAAAAAGAGGGTATTGGTTCCTATTTTCCAAGCCATAGGAGACACTTGTGCTTATTTCTTATTTTTCGTTTACTTTTTTTCCTTTTTTCCTTTATGTTTCTTTTATTAATCAATATTTTCTAAATTTCTTTTTAAATGTTTATATAATGTTCTTAAAATTTAAAAATTGTTTTTGTTTGAAAAAACAAAGTTAACATACAAGTATATTGCATCTGTACTCTCAAATTAACAATTTTTTTGTTTTCTGAAATAAAAAAGTAAAAATATTTTTGACAACTTCAAAAAATGAGGAATAAAAAAAGAAATAAAATAAAAGAAAAAATAAATATGAATATCTTTTTTGAACACCTCAATTCTAAAGACTTTTTAGGCATTCTAAAATTTTCTTTTTATATAAGACTTTTTACATGTTTCAATTGTTTTGATTTTGTTTTCCATATTTTTAATTTTTTCATTCTGAATTTTCTTTCTGAACTTACCAAAAACATATTCTAGAAAACAAAAAGTGAAAATGTTTAATTTGAGATGCATCGAGTATATGTTTTTTATTTTTATTTTTATTTCAAAAAAAAAGAATTTTTGGAATTTTAAAACATTTTAAAAATTGAAAATATATTTAAAAACTTTTCTATGAAAAGGAAACAAACTGATCAAAAAAAGTAAAAAAAGAAAAAAACTAGATAATAGTTAAAAAATAAGAAATAAGCACGGGTGCCCCTATGATTTAAAAATTAGGCACTAATGCCCACTCTTTGCCTAGAAATGGCTACTGGAGCCGGTTTTCAAGTTACCATCAGGTCATTTGGACCAAATTATAATTTTATACGGAGTATATTTTAAATTTTTTTTCAATTTGACCTCATTTCTTTTTTCTTCTTCTTCCCCTCCCACTTCCTTCTTCTTTCACCCCCTCCTTTTTTCTTCTTCTTCTTCTACAAAGCCTCCATTACCCCACCCCCACCCGCCATCTCCCCACCCTCTCCCTTCATCTTTTTATTAGTCCCCCTTTTCTTACAACCCTATTATTATTATTATTATTATTAATTTTTTTTAAATCCCAGTGGCAAACCACCAAGTCTGATGGGGTAAGGTCTAGGCAACCCTTACAACCCTATTATTAAAAAATAATAATCAATAAAATAAAAAATAAGTAACTCTTTTAATCTTTTTTGTTAACAAACATCTTATCTTTTTTATTGCTATTCTTTTACCTTTTTTGTTAACCACTGACTACAGAGTGATACTCCGTACTTGATAGAGGTTAAGATTATTATTACCAAATATCATTTACCCATAGCTTCAATAAATCATTATTTTTGAAAATGTTTCCTTAATTCATTATGTGTGTATCTTCAAGCGAAGCTCGTCTAGAGCATCAAGCAAACCCATATTTATAATTTCAAAAATCATCATACGGTAATATTAACATAGCTTACGTTCAACCATTTATCCTCATTTTTGTGTGGAGTCATTTGTATGGGTCGGATTTTTTTAGGGACTTAGAATATTGGGCTAGAGTTTTTTCAACAGCAACAATCATGTGTGGTAAAGCTGAATACACCTTATTTTTTGCCACAGTTAGTTATGTGCGGTAACATAAGTGCGGCAAAATGCAAGTTTTCTTGTAGTGGGTCCGAGTTTGGGTCAAAGCGTCTTTTTCTTCAGATTCAGAAATTGGTATGTGGCCTTTCTTACGGGCTGTTTGGCAACTTCTGAATGGGTAAGTGCTGAACCAGAAGTCTGAATCATTAAGTGCTGAACCAGTAAGAGGTCTGAACCATTAAGAGCTAGTATATTGCTTAACTATTCAGAGGCAAATGTCTGATCAATTCAGATAACAGCTCTTAACCATTCAGACTCTGTATAATACTTAACCATTCAGAGGCAAATCTCTTAACCATTCAGACATCTGAACCATTAAGAGGCTGAAACAAACAATCTGAATCATTAAGTGCTGAATCATTCAAACATCTGAACCATTAAGAGGCTGAAACAAACAGCCCCTTAGTCTGGTATGAATACTCTTTTGATTCCAGACACAGTGTCGAGTGATTTCTGATCACCTAAGCATGTGGAACGTTGGTTGAGACGGTCGACCATTTAGGGAGACGATGATGCTATCTTACGACAAGAACATTACCAACGACGCTCTTGTAAGTTGACTATCCTAAAGTTGGAGACGAGGTTGCGTATAAACAATCCAACGGTTTGACCGTCCCACACTCCCACTAGGAGGTCAACCGTTAACCATCATGTTACTCTTACAAGATTTTGATCCTTATGTTCTATTATCCATTTTAACACATAATTTCATTTATGAAAGATATATAGACAAGTCATTGCCATAGGATCTAAATATGGGCCGGTCTTGAGAATTCATATGCCTGGGCCGAAACAGAAAAAAGACCTTAAAAATCTTATACCTAATGATCTAACAAAGGCCCTAAAAATCTTATCCCTAATGATCGTTTTCTTTTTTTTTCTTTTTTGACTACCAGATAATTGTTTAGGAGCCATAGCTATTGAATTATTTCTGAAATAAAATCCAAATTAATAAATTCTATTACTTAGTTACCTTATTAAAATTAAATATGAAAAAGTGAAAAGGCAAGCAAATAAATAAATATATCATAAACTAAAACCAATTTGTCAATTTTTCTTTCTTTAAAAATTGTTTTTATTTTTCAGTTATAATTTTTTTTATAAATCCATATCAACTCGTCAATTTATCAGTTTTTAATTTCTTTTCGGTTTTCAGTTTTTTTATATAAATATATCATAAACAACAAATTCAAATCAATTCATCCAAATCAAATAAATAAAATATAGAACCATTAATTCATTCTATTTCAAAGAATGAAATTAGAAAAAATTTCAAATTAAAAACTAATAATTAACCCTAGATTTTAAATCTAAAAAATGAAACAATGAAAGAAAATTAAAAAATAAAAATTATAAAATTGGAAAGCGACGAATAATTCAATATGGAATACCTGGAGGGTGGAGGTCGGCGTTCGGCGGCGGCGTCTGTTAGAGGCAACGTCTTTCTTAGGCTCTTCCGCTTCTTCGGCACTCGGCAGTTCAGCTCTCTTCCAGTCTTCCGCGTCTCACAGTTCTTTTTTTTCTTGTCTACCGTGTAAGTAAGCTAGGAGTGGATTGGGCCGGCCTTAAATGTGGTGGATTGGGCCAGTGGGTAAAAATATAATACTTTAAAACTAATAATTTTGTGCCCTTTAAAATCTTGGGCCCGGCCCGGACGGACACTTTGTCCCCTATTGGGCCGGCCCTGTTACCGTGTTCCTTACGTTTAATCCGAAAGAGCAACAACCACATATGGAACAAGATGCTATAAACGACTATAAGGAACCTAACGTTGGACTTGAGTATGGTGTACAAACATTAAGTTCGAAGATATGCAAATAACAATAAAGATAAATAAGTCTCAACAGCGATCAACGTACAACCATCACTATCTACTTCACGCTTTCTTGTCTTGATGTTTCTCTTCAAGTTTCGATGCCAAAAGATTAACAAAGAAACAAACATTACAAAAGCATTAAAATGAGTATATTAACGATAGAGATGGAACATACTCACTTCCCTAATTTTGCTTTTTCAACCGTACAAGGTAGTGTATTTGCTTTTGCAATGGAAGCATGGGAAAAAGAAGGTTAAGGAGATTACACCAAAAACTAACTCATGGACGCTGGCAACCTATTCGACAATATGCCACAACGACAAAACTTGTTGCTGCTAGCTGCACATTCTTCTTTTCATTTTCCGGATACAAACCAAACGGAGATGAACGATATTCAAATTTCTAGCCAAACACCTAAAAAAGGAAAACTTCAGGAAAATAAGTCGTTTTGTTTTTCTAGGAATCATTTTTCATAGTTCATTTTCCCGCTTTCCAAACGAACCCAAAAGAATAAAAATTACATATATGCTCTCCCGTTAGGGGTTTTAGGCAATACAACCTGAACGCTCCATATGTCAAATTATGAGTCTCTTAAGTGCAAAATATACAGTGATACAATATCCACATTCTCTTGTTTGAAGAACCAAAAATACCTATTTGACAAATTATGAAAGTCTCAATTTCTTATTGCTTTGAAGAATGCATGTTCCGCTCAATCATTTTGTATGAATGAAACCCTCAAGCATCTAATGGGGTAGCAGAGTCAAGCCTCACTCGATTTAGCCGAACAGTTCCAAGAATGTACTCCGGGAGTTCTGCCTCTTCTTTTGCCTGCATTTTAAAGATGCTTTGCAGTGATCGGGAAATTCGCAAGATTTATTCAACAATTAATCACTAGCACTAGTTACTTAGTTAGCAAAGAACACACATAACAGTTCCAGGTGTCTACTTCCTACGGACGTTTCCTTCAAATTTTCACAAACTTAATAAGAATCATTTGCATACCTCTATCAAAATAGCAAGATCAACAACAAGGCTAGTTACATATCCCAGTACTAAACCAATGATGCTCCTTGCGACAGAAGAAGAGCCAATGTCCACGTCAATCTGCCCATTCGTTAAATCTTATAAAATATATAGAATAAAGAATAGGATAAATACTTCAAAAACTAAAGTCAACAGTACCAAAATATTACTTCAGATCTAGATGAACAGAAATCAAATAAGATGGGATATAAACAAGAACACTCTCTTGGCCATTTTTATATTGCTTTGAAAACAGCAAAGCAAACATTCAGGTTGATCAATGCTGAGCATTGTAGTAACAGTATGAACTATGAAACGAGCAGGTTATTCAAAAATGTAAAAATAAAGCTCACGTAGCACATTTTCATGTTTAATAATCATAAGAAATGAAATTCATAGTGGATTTGCTCCAAACAAACAGGAGTTGGTACGATTCTGTAGGAAACTAAACCGTTGCTAATTTAACCAGTGGTATAAGAATAGGAACTCAAGTTCTGAAATTTGTGTTCGTCGTTTTATTTAGTTCTGGTTTATAATCCGTATTAAATTAGAATCAGTCAGTTTATTTAATTCTCATTTAAATTAGAGTCAATTAATCATATGAAGTGTTGGATCATGGAGGGGTTGGAGCCGCTAACTAAGTCCACTAAGCCAGCTATATAGAGTCAGTTATTCAGTTAATTCTACGTAAATATGCACTAGATATTGTGTTATCCTTTCAATGCCAATTGCCAAGGAATCAATGATAAATCACAATTCCTTTAAGACATCCTCTTGGCTTTTAGCTTATTCTCTTGGAGAGATTCTTACTAAGAGAGAAGAGTTTTCAATTTTATGTTTGTTATTTTCCTTATTACTTCTCTCTCAGTCATTGGTGTCAGAGCCGTTTTACCATGGTTGAAAGAAGCTCTTCTGCTGCCAATTTTACTGCTAATAGGAATGAAGACGATGGTGACCATAAAATTCAGATGAATGATACATTAGCAGCAATTACAGCCAAGCTTGACGTCATTGATGAGTTATAGGACAAGGTTTAAATAATACAGGAATGATGTGACGCTGGACTGAAGACGCGGAGGAAGAACCTGACGATCATCCACACACACCCTATGCAAAGATTGAATTCCGTAAGTTCAGAGGAGTGGATCCCGGTGAGTGGTTCCTTAAAGCTGAAAACTACTGCTATTACAATACGCATGAAGATGGCAAGGGTAAGATTGTAGATTTGTAGGATTTGTAGCAATGTATGTGGAGGGAGACACATTGGGATACTTTGGTTAAAACCTTGAATGAACACTACAGACCTCAATTTCTGAAACCTGAATAATATTCTCTGCAACGTCAAGCAAACAAGAACAACAACAACAACCCAGTTGAATCCCACTCCAGTAGGGTCTGGGGAGGGTGTGTGTACGCAGACCTTGCCCCTATTTGAAAGTAGGGAGGCTGTTTCCAAGAGACCCCCGGCTCAACCTGCACAAAAAGTATGGTAGAGAACACAATATAACAGGATAACAAGATATAACAGGATATAACAGGATAAAGCACCAAGTACAATGAAATGAAAAGTTTAGCAAACACAACACAAGCAAGCAAACAAGAAGCTTCGCAGAATATACGCAGAAGTGGGCTAAGAGGGTTGCTCCTGGGTCTAATTGGCCTAAGCTATGTCTTCTCGGGGTTCCTGAACCGATTGATGGATGCAAACAGAAATAGGTCTTCACAAGACGCAAAAATTTTACCGGGCTTCTAGTCTTGCCCTGAGTGGAGAAGTCAGTTAATTTGAGTCGTGGATTCAAACAAACTACACAAGTGTGCCAAGCCCGGATTGATAATTATACCTACCCTTGTTCATATACACGCCAGGACGGGTCGATACCACATTTGTACGAAGGGTCTTTGACTTCGTCCACGATGCTTAGGGCTCTGTTTTCGGTGTGGCAATCCATTCAAGCAGGGACATCGCTGCAACACGTCTTTCTCCCTTCTCAAGCTTATGGAAGAAGGTAAGTCAATCTGCTCTTTAAATTATCAAGTTTATCTTGGTCCTAAGTTATCAAGTTAGAGTATTAAATTAGAGTCGGTAATATTGTAATTAGTTCTCATTTTAATTAGAGTCAATTACATCAAGGAGTGGATCATGGAGCCACTAACTAGGTCTACTTAGTCAATAGAGCCAGTTATTCAGTTATTTCTATGTATATCTGCACTACATACTCCTTTAGCCTGTTTATGCTAACACATCAGTGATATATTGATATATCATATTTCCTTTTAAAAAATTGGCTTTTAGCTTATTCTCTGGGGAGATTCCTACTGAGAAAGTGAGTAGGAGTTTTTCAATATTCTGTTCATTTTTTCCTTACTACTTCCCACTCTATCAGAAGTCAATTCATATAATGCATACAATAACATTTCTACTCCATACTCTTGAAGTGAAGAACAAATTAAATTCTTTCTATAAGTTCCTAGCATGTGGGGTTTCTTGCAAATGCAAAACCTGCATCAAGACCTGGGGTGCTCTTTATAAATTGCCAAAGGGAAATTAAGTATGCATTATGCAATGAGAACAAATGTCTAACTGAAATATAAAATCTGGTTTGCATGTCAGCTGCAAGGGTAACAGAGAAACTTGACAAGAACTGACAACATATTATTCTATACAGTAAAGCTCAGTAGATGTGCATCTAAAATTTAGAAGAGGCTACTTTTTTCCATCGTCACAAGTATACCAGAATGACATTAAGATATATTAATGGAATCCAACCTCTAGAAAATTGTCTTGGCGGAGGTACTTGCATGTCACTGCTTTACCCAAAAGACAGGCTTTAGTTCCAACTGCACGTTTGACCATCCAATATCCCTACCCGACAAACACTTAGAGTTCAGGAAAGGAATATTTATTAATCTGACAGAGTATTTGTTATATACCTCAGTAATGCTTGGAATCAATTTAAATCTTGAATCACGATACATGTCAGTCCCATCAACAAATTTACCCAACAATGAATCCTTATTAACAGGCCGATCAGCAACATAATAAAGAACCAAGCTATAGTTTGGTTTAGCTGGAACCTGTGAAAGAACCGAAAACCCAAAAGGGTGTACTCCATGTGTAAATATATTTCTTCCCAAGAACAAATCTTTGTGAAAAACTGAAGGTTCGGATGAAGAAGAGTACAGTAATCTAACATATTCTGCTAAAATCCCATACACAACCAAAAAACTAAAAATACATAGCTAAACATACCATGAGGTTAATGATGAGGATGAATGGAATATTCTTTCCAGCTTCAGACTGCAATCCAAACAAGCATTAGAAGCAAAACATATACTCCAATTTAGAAGAAAAAGCGGTTGTCAAATGCCAATACTTTTCTTACTATAAAAAGGAAAGCATTGAATGGTTTACATTGTTACTCTCTCTCCATAAATTTCAACCACAGAATTTCACCTTTTCTTAAACTCCGTGGAAAAGAAACAACAAACAACAAAATTACCCCAATGCCTCACAGACTCCCACCCATTGCGAGGTAAGGGGGGTTGGGTGGGAGTTTAATTTGGGGCGGAGAGAATGTGTGTATACACACACACACACACATATTTGTATGTAATCCCACACTAAACTGGAATATAGGTAAGATACATTATAATAAAAGGGAGAAGTTGACAGAGTCTCAGAAGCCGTCGGATAGGATATTAGAAAGAAAATCATACTGTGACACAGCATCTATTAATACTAACAAATGGAGTTATCATGGGAGTCGAATTCCCCAAATTTTGTACCAAAGTGCCAATATTTTATTTGTCATTAAGTATTTCAAATTTGAGCTCTATCGGTTGTTCATTGCCATTGTTTTAAACAACATCCATGATAGTTTTGCAAAAACTAGCAGGGTAATAAACTATTTGGGGTGCCCTTTACCTGAGCAAGACACTTAGGATGCAAAGCAACTTTTGAGATTGAATTCTCCATCTTGTACCAGTCAACTGCAATTAGCTTTAGCAAAGGATCTCCTCCCTTGACCTGGAGATAGATTATATTATCTTTTTTATTTGGGGAAATAGATTATTCTATTCCCAGACCCTACTCTCGTGGGATCCAACTGGGTTGTTGTTGTAGATTATATTATCATCAAATGAGAATAAAACACCAAGCTTAGATTCTGTCAATGCATATTTCATTAGGAACGCATAGTAGGTACATAACTATACAACCTGAACCTCTACGTTCGTTGCGAAAACTCAAAGTTGTACTTGATCACGACATATCACTATGAAAAGCTAGGCATTCAACTGGGAGGCATGTATTTTTCCAATTTTAATATAATCTTTTTCTTAGAGTAAATTCCATAATTGGTCCTTTATAACATGGGATTTTCCCTATATAGTCCTCTATTATCAAATATTACCCCGGTGGTCTTTCTTTTATTAGTATCTTTTCATAAATAGTCCTTTTTTAATCTTAAGTCATGTTAGTGTTAATTTGAGGGCTAAAAGTGTAATTTCACAATGACCATATATCTTTCTTGTCATACACAATTCCATAGGCCACTCCTAATGCTTCGTTTGTGAATTGTAGCTTTCTACTACAACCATAGTCTACAGATATAGTCTTTCGTCAGAATCCTAATCCACAATCATAGTCATTATTGTTGTGTTGTTTGTTTAACCGACATCAGAATACGTCACTAGACATAAAGTTGATGTCAAATTATATTTTTAACCCTCAAAATAACACCAACATGACTAAAGGTAAAAAAAGAACTATTTGTGGAAAAGTACCCATAAATGAAAGACCATGGGGGTAAAATTTGATAATAGAGGAATAAGTATGGAAAACCCCCTGTTTTAAAGAACTAATTATAGAGTTTATCTCTTTTTCTCATGAATGAAAGCAGTTTTGGTCGATCACTCCAAAAAAAGGCCAAAATAATGGCTTCACTACCGCAAGTTGTATGCTGGGTAAGAACTATTGTAGACATCACAGTAAGATACACTTTCTTTGTTGCAAAAAGACATGTTTCAAACATCGTTTTTGTCCCAAAAAGAGAGTTCTGTAAAACGAAGTTAGGTTGTTTTTTAAACATTGCTTTTGTCCCATATTACCTTAGTGTAATCTTTTAAATATGTCTTCCCTCTGATCATGAACCCTGAACCTTCTGGAGAGGTCCAACAGTTAGTGTCATTCTCATCTTTCCCTTGTTGCATGGTTCCATGGAAATTACTTGGATTGAGCATTACACGGGGCACACTTGGATTTAACTCCCTGCCAACATCTGGCGCTGCACCAGGTTACCAATTACACGCTCAGCAAAGAAGATAAAAGAACAAATGAACTATATTGAGCTTCTAGACAACAACCATAAAACCAGTATAATCCCACTTTGTTGGAGGGGTCAAGATGTGTGCAGTGTTACCCAAATACCCAATAAAAAATAAAATGGTTGTTCTGTTTGACCCCTTTCATAGCGACAAAACACCCATTGGAGAGCATGTGGAGAGGCCACTACTGCTCCAAATGCCCTCCCAAATGTGGAATTCGCCTTTAGTGGTAAATGGTAATGTTAATCTCTATGGGAACAATATACTTATACACACAACGGCATAAACCTCAAACAGTTAAAAATAAAGCATAATAATTGCAAAGAGCTTATGCAAATTCCAGCAATTAAAAATAAAGAACCATACTGCTTTAGAAATAACATGTATGAACCAACGTACCAACCACCCTATGCTATGAAGAGGGATAAGCCGGAAGAATATACCTGAATCTCGCCTCAATGCCAAGCTTGCTATTGCCCATGAAACATTCTTCAGCTTAAATTTTTTGTCCTGGGCAAAGAGAGGCATTAAAACCTGCACCATTTTATGATTATTCTATGGTGTTCCCTTATCGTTATAACAAAAAGATGGAAAACCTTGTTTACGAGTTCAACTTCATTGTCGCTTTCATCTTCCGATGAAGATGACTCAACAGTAATCGCATCATAGAATTGATCTGATCCTTCCTCACCATCAAATTCGACACTGGGTGTAGAAACATCAGATGTATTTGAATGAACTGTTACGGTGGATGATTCAAATGTGAATGCTGGAGTTGCTCCTACATATTCCTTGAGACCTGCACAAATCATTTACCAGAAAGCTCTTTTGGAACTATGGAGAATTTTACTGTGTTTCTAAACATATTGGTTCCAGTCTTCCAGAAACATCAAATATTGGGCAGGAAGTCATAAACTACTACAAAGCAGGTTAAACGCAGGTGTTAGTAACACACATGCATGACCCAAATGTGGTAATCATATTGCCCCGTGCTAATGATTTCTTGTGTTTTGTTTTCGACATAACATCTATGACGGAAATGAACCACTTTGTAATTGCATGATTTGAGATGTAGAATTAAAGGAGGTTTGACCAGCAGTTAAAATTAACTCGTGCTCAAGCCTGAGCTTTGAAAGTAATTTTGAAACTTGTAGTATAGCTTAAATTTCACTTGTGCCTAGGAGCATCTAATTTTATGACTTAATTATTTTCATAAAAATTACAAACTGTTGTATTAGAATTGTAATTTTAAATACAACAGTGTTAGGCGCCACACCTCATACCACTTTGAGACTTATACCTCACCTCATTTAACAAAAAGCATCAAGGCTTGAAACTGCCTTTTAAACATTGTTAGGTATCTGTTGATTGATGCATAACCTTTCAATGCAAAGCAAGTCCAGGGTTGCAGTGGAGAAGGGGAAATGGACTTATACAGGGACGGGGTCAGGAGCCTGAAATGCCAATTTGTTTCATAATTTATAAAGGATTTGGGTGCGGAGATGCCCCCAAGTACCCGACCGGAAACGTTTTGGGGACGGGAAGCGGAACCTATTTGAAGAATCTGTGCAACATAGAAAGCAACTTCCATTTTTTAAAGAAGCATAACCTTTCAATGCAATGCAACTTCCATTTTTTAAAGAAGCATAATCTTCAACTGAAAACTAGAAGAAAAATGAATAAAATGATAAAGCATGATATTGTGCAAAAAATCAACCAGTTAGCAAAAGAAGGAATATATTTCAGAATCAAGTATCCCACACAATGTTAAATTCTATGAAAATGTTTTTGAAAACAACAAGTAACACAAAGTATGTTGTCATTTGGTACAGTTTAATTCTTAAAACAACAAGCTAAGGTCCTCAATAGGAAGCATAGATGCAAAATTTGAAGTTTCATAATGCACCATGAGACGAAAAAGAAGACAGAAAAACACAACAATTTCTTGCTCGAGATGAAAGTGAGAATGAGTATATCTTAGATAGGTTGCCTTTACTCCATTGGTTTGATTTTTCATTATATGTGGTCCATCTTCCCCTTACATAACAAAAGGTGTCTTGTATTATGCATCAAGTAGGAACATGTACAAACAAGATGCAAAAAACTAAAGGTAAGCACCTGCCACTTGACTCAACAATCCAACAGGAATGGTTTTCTCAAATTCTATGAAGTTATTCTTCTTCCATTTAAACCAGCTTTTGCAGTGTATCTCAAGCATTTGTGCCACAAGACATTTGGGAGAGCCTGATGATGTGTGTAGATTCCTTATCTCCCAGGTAGAAGCTACAAAACAACACAAGAGAAGTCATGAAAAAACAAGCCAAAAAAATTGCATTAGTTGCGTACATCATATAAGCTATTTCAAGTTGATATGGCAAGCTTGAACAAAATACGAGGCTCGTTTTATCTGGTAAAGCCTGGACCAAACCCGCTCAAGCTTCGTCCATGTATATCTCTATATCTCAAACCATATTCACAACAAACAACTATGGAAAGTGTGCATATTAATAATAAATAAAATATAAGCACATTAACTACATCTTGTGTCCTATTTAAATTTCGACATAGCAATAACAAATTAACAAATCCATAACTTATTAAAGAAGAAGCTTTAATTTAATATTTACTAAGTCCAAATAGGACAAGCATGAAGTGACAGTTAATGCTTCCAGCTAGAGTTTAAGTGCACACAGGTCAAAGAAAAAAATCAATTATCAACTTTTATAAATTAAAAAAAGTTGAGAAGTTGCATAGAGAAGTTCTTGATTCCTCAAATGTAGAATATTATCCAGGTTGTAGTATTGAAAGAAATCACATGGAACCTGTTCTAAGCTTGTAACCAGCGTTAACAACAAAATGAGTTTCTTGTGAGCACTAACGGTCTGACATTTACAACCATGAGATAGTAACGAAAAAATCAAATTCTACATTGACTTCAATCACACCCACTAGGCAACTGCTTTCTTCCGCAAAGTTGAGCATATGTCTCACTAACAACTTCTTAAGTTCACAATCCTTAAGTCAGTACATACAGTCTGACTAACAACTTATTTGCAAAAATTGTGAGAGTTTCAAGAAACATTAGTTTTCACTATTCCAAAAGAATTAGCGTCAGTACATACAGTGATGACTACAAATATAAAAGTTCATTTCTTTGCCATAGCACAACGATATCCAGATCATAAGAAAAAAACTCCAATTTCTATTTACAAAAACATGAAACAGTTTAAGCAAAAATCAACTTTCTTATCTAAAGAATAAGGCAAGGTTTAAAACAGAAACTTACATTAGCTAATCTGATTTATTTTTCAATGATGATCATGGAAATACAATTGAGTAAATGGGTCTCTTACGGTAAATTTTTGTACGTCGATATCCAGATTTTGGAGGCAGCTTTTTATGAACAGCAGGAAATTGCAAGATTGCTGCACAAATAAACAAGGTTTGTAGGACTTTGTACATTAAATAGTGAATAGAATATGTTACCAAATCGTAGAGAGAACGAAACTATTAAAAGCGCATCTTGATTTTATGAATATTTTTCATGGAAAAGCAGCATTGTAATTGCTAGTTTGCTACTAAATTGCCATTAGCTCCGCTACATTACTACATGTCATCAGCTTTGAAAATAAACTGATGCAGTATATCCAAAATGGATCATTAGTTCAAAATGAGTTGCTTGTGAGCACTTACATCATTAGTTCTAATGGATATAGCCAAGACTATAACTAGTTGTTAGGGAAGAAACAATATGGTATTAGTAGATGCAAAAGGGTATGTACCGATATAACACTTTATATAAAAACAAAAAGAATACTAAATACTACTATACTCAATACATTTGACCAAAATGATTCATGTTTACTACATGGTAAAGGGGTTCATGCTGATAGTGTACAAAGGGTGATCAGTATAAATGTGTAAGAGAGCACAGATTTCTTACTATATGTTCCATCTTGCCCATGAAACCATTGTCGGGAGAAGACAAAATCTTTTTTAGATTGCCACCTGCAAAAACAAATTAGCTGGTGATAAGGAGGACTAAATTGTACACGGGAAATTTAATGGAAATGGTTAGTTCATCCTACTCAGGACACATTCTAAATATCAAATATCAATTAGCACAGAATAACAACCATGATCAAGAGAGAAAGTGAATGTTGCAATCCAAAGAAATAGGGTGTTACACGGGCAGTGCTTGCTTTATGAAAGTCAACCCTATAATAAACTTCTGAATTCTGATCAAAAATAGAAATACTGTAACAGCCAGAAAGAAGCAATACTGATCTTTGATTACCAAAATGTGGCAATGTCTAGGAAGAATTACCATGTCTTTTTTTTGGAATTTCAACAATTTGATGTAATGCCGCAATGGATGCTAGTTCAGTTGCAATAGACTCGTCGGCTTCATCATGTCAACTTTGGCTATCTTCACTATGTGGATATCCGCTGCAAGCGACGGAAGAGATGTAATAGCAAGGCGTCGCTAGGTTTGTTCACAATAGGAAAGGTCACCTGCGAGATAGGTGTCACGCACCAGAGTTTCTCGTGATTGTGATGTTGTGGGCGTGCAAATCATGAGTCCTACCATTGGCTAGAATGTGAGCGACATCAGCTCCCGACCAGTTGTGCCAAGTATCTTGCATTGTCTCCTTCACAGTCAAGTCGCAGACTAGCAACAAGCTCCCCAAACTTAACTTGGTCTACCTGCGTAACTCGACCAGACTCATGCATACAAGGCAATACAATGCCTTGGTGCTTTTGCCGCCAACATTCTAGCCAATGGCAAGACTCATGATTTGCACACCCACATTATCACAATCACGAGAAACTCTGGTGCGTGACACTCTCTTGTGTAACAAATGCCAAACTTCTTCGCCTCTAAGAAAGTTGTGGAAGTACCCGTGTCTACAAGAGGTTTCACGGTGTGTCTTTCAATCTTGGCTTCCAGGAACAATCGGCCTT